TCCATCCATCTTCCCTAACTAACCCCTCACTGGATCCATCCATCTCCACTAATCCCTCACGTGATCCATCCATCCTGCCTCCCCTCCCCTGCCCCCATATCTTTCCTCCTTTTTGTGGCTACACTTCTTGAGAAGGCCATCTACAATAGATATACAAAACAATTCTTTCTTCTCACTGTCTTCTTCACAGTCTGGCTTTTGATCTCATCATTAAACCAAAACTACTTTCTCCAAAGTTACCAGTGATTTCTTAGTTGCCAAATCTAATGATTACCTTTTCTCAATCCTCATCTTCTCTGTAGGCTTTGACACTGTTGATCACCTCCTTCTCCTTGTTAATCCCTTCTCTCTGGGTTTCTGTGACTCTCCTCTATCCTGACCCTTCCTCTCAGTTATCTGACCACTTCTGTCTCCTTTATTGGATCATCATCCTGCTAATTGTGGGTGTCTCACAGGATTTGTCCTGGGCCCTCTTCTCTTCTCCAACTATATGATTTCACTTGGTGATTTCATTCACTCCTATGGATTCAGTTATCTCTGTGCTGATGATTCTTAAATCTTCTCTCCTGACCTCCAGTCTTGCATCTGCCTATTGGACCCCTTGAACTGCTTGTCTTGTAGACATCTTAAACTCAAACAAAACTGAACTAATTATTTTTCCTCCCAAACCCTCTCCTCTTCCAAACTTCCTTTTTATGGTCAAGGGCACCATCATCCTTCCAGGAACCCAGGCTCACAATCTAGGTGTCATCTTTGACTCCTCACTCTTACTTCACCCCCCCCATTTCCAATCTGTTGCCAAGGCCTGTGGATTTTACTTTTGTAACCTCTCTCAAATATACCCTCTTCTCTCCTTCAACACTACCACCACGTTGGTACAGACCGTCTTGGCTTCTTACCTAGACTATTTCAATAACCTGATATGACATTTCCCAACCATTAGTCTTTCCCTATTCCAGTCCTTCCTCCACTCAGCTGTCAAAGTGATCTTCCTAAAATACAGGTATGACTATGTCATCCATTCAATAAATTCCAGTGACTATCACTTCTTATATCAGATATAAAATCCTCTGTTTGGCATTCAAAGCCCTTCATAACCTCCCCTCCCTGCTTACTTTTCCAGTCTTCTTACACTTTACACCATCCTATATACTCTGTGATCCAGTGATACTGGTCTTGTTTCTCTGATGAGACACATTCAATCTCCCAAATGTAGGTATTTACACTGGCTTTCCACCACCTTTTCTTGTTGTCCTTCAAGTCCTAACTAAAAGCATTTTCCAATTCTTCTTAATTCTAGTATCTTCCCTTTTGTTAATTATCTACGATTTATCCTGTTTATAGCTTGATCATGCATAGTTGTTTGTATGTTGTTTCTTAGTAACAATTTTTTTTTTTGG